CTCTCTCTCTCTCTCTCTCCGTCGTGTCTCAGGGATTCCCCCCCCGGCTGCTGATGTGGCAGTGATGTCCCTCGTGCCTGTCTTTGCTCCCCCAGTCTGCGCAACAGAGAACGAGCTTGCGCCTGTCGATCAATAGGCGGCAAATGTGCCGCTGGGGTGCAATGACCATCTGGGCCAGGTCCAGTCCTCATCCTCACGCGACGACCTCCGCCGTCATCTCCGTCTGCCATACGGATCCTCGGGACGTAATCGGAGTCATCAGGATCGTCGGTGCCTGTGGTCTCACCGCCCTCAGCGGCTGTGGAGTTGTCGTCGTGGAGGATGATCGTGCCGCCTCGTCTCTTCTCACCTCGACCTACTTCGTCCACTTTGTCACCTCCCTCCGCCCCACCCTGTCCATCTGCGGCAGCTGGCATCTGTCTGGTCTCGTCCCTGTTGCGGAAAAAAGGATGTAGGCGGCGCCGGTGATACGGAATCGACACACCTGTTCCCTTCTTCCTCGCCCGTGACAGCCTCGCAGTTCCCGTCCTGGTGTCGTTGACATCGCTCGTCTTGGCCCGTATAGGCCTCCCATGCTGCTCCTCGTAAGCTCTCATGGAATCATGACAAGTGCCGTCGACGTTGCCGATCGATCGCGCCCCCGCAGGCACATCTGCCGGTCCATATGCTGATGTCTGTCCGATATCGCCTGCCCTCCGGTCCATGCCCGCACCGTCGTAGAAAGACCTCGTAGGCAATGCGCTCGGCGCGGCCTGCCCGTGGGTGGCAAGATCAGCGGCAGAGGGGCGTGAGGGTGGTGGACACATAATGTCACGCATCCCCGTCAAATGCGGTCGAGGCTCATCTGTGTGCCCGTCTCCAACGTCATGTGTGCTGGGCCTGACAATGCTGGGGTGTGCGGTCGATGACCCTCTGCGCTCGATGCCCCCCCTGAAGGACCGTCCACCATCTGCGCTCCCTGGCTGCGCTGTATCCTCGCTCACGCCCTCGCCTCCGTCCGAGCGGATAACTCCGGGAGACCTCGCCTCTAAAGTCTCTGCTGGCCCTCGATGTGGCTCTTGCTGCGGGCCCTCCTCTGGTGGATGGACTGATGAHACGCCGTCCGATAACAGCTGCGAACCATGACCCCCCTGCGCCAAAAAATCTCCAGACGCTGCCTCTAGTGAACGTTCCGGACTACGTTGAGCTGCGACGTGCGGTCCACCACGACGGTTCCCTGCTACCTCCTCTGCCAACCACTGCTCCACCACCCACGGTGCACCGACATGAAAAATGGCGGGAGTGCCGGACTCAGGAGGATCTTGTATCGTGTCGCCGCCAAACTCGTCGAACCCTCTGTCACGACGCGCGTTATCTCGTCTAGCAGGCTCCGGTGGTGCCACAACCGGCAAAGTGGGAGATATCAGTAGCGATATATCGGGCAGAGATGCCAAGGCGGAATCCATGGTGAATAGCTCGTCAGTGGGCAGAAGACTGTCGGGCGGGCAGTCGAGGCCGACGTTGTGGTCCGTCGGAGGACGTTCGTCCTCCCTGTCCTTTCCACAAGTGGGAGTGGGTGCAACCTCTCCCTCCTCTAGACCGTCGTCACTCGTGTGAGGAGGCGGCTCACGTCGTGCCTCGCCGTCCTCCAAACCCGCTCCTGTGGAGTGGACTGGGGCGCCTGCTGGAGTGCACCGAGTCTGCGCCTGGCGGAGTGGACCGGGTCCTCCGAA